TAACCTAAATAAGTAGACAAGCGAGTACTGCTCAAGATTACAATAAATTTCTATCCATATGTTTCAAAGCATCCGTCTTTATAGGCAGAAATATAGTGATAACAGTTCTTATTCTAGAAGAAAACATAACAAGCCATCTTCCAAAAAAAATCATCCTCATTCTATTACCTTCAGTGATATAACAGTCATAAAAAACTACTTACAAATAGTAACTGATACTAAGATGGGCCTAATTTCAGGTCTCTCTGAGGGGAGCAATGTTTCTTTCTTTCTAAGAGTCCCATCCTCAGTTTCCTCATATGCRTAAGTCAGACTGGGAGAAGGAACAGAGCGAAAATCCACCTTTGTGCAGATTTTTATAACATCTGCACCTCTCTGAGAAAACGAACAAACATACCACACACATTTTAATATAGCCTTTTAAATAGGCTATTAATAAATTACAATATATAAAAATGACGAGTATCCCTGAAGTTAGAGCAAGCCCTCTACTATAAAAAACTGCTTATTTTTTACTTCACGGGAGGATATTTCAAATCTCAAAATACTTTAGAACCAATCCCACAACAGTGATAATTTGATAATGTCATATCTGTGGATAAATAACATCAGTTAAAGTCACCTGTGTTGCATTRTTGTAGATTACGCCAAATAGACCAACCACATCATGAAATTACTTGAGGCCACGGCTGATGGTTTTAACGCTCTCCCTCTAAGTTAACCAAAAACGCCATGTTTATCTTATCCATCACGTTCAAGAAAACAATATGCAAGGTTTTGCWTATTTTGAACCCATGTATGTAAATGTATGGCTGTGCTTAGCTTTCCAGAATGTTAGGATAAAAAAAYYCTATCAAATACAGCTTTGCTGACCTGTGATTATTTATTTAGAAAGGGAAATCAACATTACTCAGCCTTTAAGAGCTGACTCTGCTGCTCTTGAGAATCGCGCTACTTCTTGCTGTGGCCATCTCCATCGCAGAAGCATGGTTGTAGCTGCCAGGACCTGTAGTCTCCCGATGTCTTTTAAGTGCTTCTCTTCATTTTGCAGACTCTTACCACTTTTTATAGTCCTGTAAAATATACTGGAAAAAAAACAGAAAAATATTAGCAAAATTAACTATGAACTTGATACCCTAAATGAAGCCATTATTAAATAAATAAATAAATAAATAACCCTTGCATCTTTAAATTTATATTAAACCACTGTATGAAATTCTTACCTTTTTCAAAGCTGTTTTACTTGATTTCCACCAGGATATGGCATCACAGATAAAGAAGCTGAAAATTATCATTTCTCCTTTGGATCCTCCAATACATTACTGTTTCTAAAATTTTGTAGAGTATCCAAAAGATTTCCAATAAAATAATGGTTAAAAGTGTAAAACAACGCAAAACAAACAAACAAACAACATACATATGCACACACTAAAGAAACCCCTACTTTACTAATAGTATATGTATAGTTTATGTATATGTAAGTTTATGTATAATGGTAAAGACCCTTTCATTGGTCAAGTCCTCAGAACAGAACTTTCTAAACACGCACACACAAGCAGAGAACAGAAGATCTTTTTGTCCACTGTCCATTTTTGTCCATTTTTTTTTTTTTTAATTGTGCCATTACAATCTTTTTGATGTTCCTTAGCACATGACCATCCTTACCAGTATAGCACTACACTTCTGGAAATGCACAGAAATTCAATACTGTTTTTATGGTTTTAATAGCTAAATACAATTGTTAATGCAATTATGGTTCTCGTGTAATTTAACTTTGAAGGGGATTAGGCAGAGGGTGTTTTGGGGAGATTGACAGTTTGTCTTGCTTAGGAAAAAAAATTGTCTTTCTTACAGAATTTGTATACTGACATATATATTTACTTTTATTAACTTCCTCCACATCTATGAGCTTTTTACAAATTCACTAACAAGAGAATAAACCATGCCAAACTCCATAATCTTTCACCCATGTCTATTTTATTCCTATGTTCAACTTAAGTAACGGTTTCTACGTTGGTTCCCGCTTCCCGCCGACCCAAAACAATAAATACATCAGGCATAAACACATTCAAATATGTTTTTTTTTTTCTTACCTGAAACCTTTATTTAACCCTAAATTCAACTATAAGATCCAAATTCCTTGTCTGTTGATTCATGGTAAAACAAAAGGGCGTGCTTCTGCTCCAAGCTCTCAGTCAGCAAAGTTGGACCATATCCTATAATTGTTTTATACAAAGATTTGGCAGAAACAAAGAATTATCGGCTCGCAATCCTGCAGATTGAGGACAAAGATCAAAGACTGTAACACAGTTGTAACCTGCCAACTTGGCCAATTTTTTTTCAGACCGGTTTAGCTGGCTTCTGGCATCCCCATTTCAATCGTCTTGTTTCAGAGACGAAGAGCAGCTTCAGATTTTCCAAAGGCAGCAAGCTCTGATTTTCGATGRCAACCCATAGACTTTGCATTCACTTATGAACCTGCCGGGGTGCGTGAAATTAATCTAGATTACTTACCTGAGCAGCTCTGTTCGAGGTAACACCTTTCCTCATCGCTCATTAAAACACACACCTTTATGGTTACACAAATACATTATTGAGGAAGAAAAACAAGGAGTGGGCAGTTCAATTTTGTTCATAAGGAGCTTTTTATTCCATCTGAGTGAATCAATACACATGTCTCTATGAAAGGGCAGAGCAGCAGTTTATATAGTAGGTTTTTATGTGGCATCTACACTAACATGGCAACAGAGAAGTGCGCAGAAATATTCCATAATTGCAGATGTACCTACAATCAGTATTTCTGCAAAATTASACAATGATGGTAAGCTGGTATTTCCTTGTGGAGGCTCTCCTGCTGTATTTTGGCATTCCAGCCCACATCACAGCAAAAAGTAAACAGCCTGATGCTGGATTGGAAGAGGAATAGTACTCGTGGTACWAATATACATTAGCAGTATGAAAACAAAGAAGTTCTTTGCGCATACCTCAAGCCACATTGCTGTGAAGTCACCTTGAAGGCTAAAAGTGGAAGGAAAAMCTTTGTCTGGATACAGAGGAATTTATTCAGTGCCTCTTTAGGACTCGCTTACCTCATCTTGATGGGAACTACAGCAATATCCTGCCTACAGTCAAACCGGCACGAGTCTGCTCCAGGGCACGTTATATCTGGGAACACTGAACACATTTGTTACTATTACTTAGAGGAATTACAGCAGTAAGAGTCAGGTGCAGGAGTTGGAAGGTTTATAAAAACAGTATTTGTTTCCCAACATTTGTTTAGGGAAAAGAAGATGTCTCATAGCTCAGGATAGTAAAGACAAGCAAAAGTATGGTCAGTGACTGCAAAGCTGCTGTAGGTGGAAAGAAGAGGAAAAAAAGGAGAAAAAAACAGTGGAGAGCGGACATGTTCAGCAGAACGACATTTGGCAGCATAGTAGATTTAGCCCAGGATTCAAGCTCCTTTTTCAGCAGTCACTCTTGTAGCTTCCCAGAGCTTCCTATGCCCCAAGAGAGAACCTCCTATACCAGGAGGTTAGTCATACCGACATGAACATAGCATAGAGCCACAGGGTTGGTGAGTTTGGGCACCTTTCAGCCCCTCCTGCGCGGCCTTGGTTTTAGTTTGTCCTTCAATTGTGTTTCAAAGCCATCTACTGTTTACACAACTGCTAACAAGATTTGTATTCTGCTTTTTYGTTATTAGGAAAAAAGCTTCTACAATATCCATCTGTTTTTAATTTTTGCTTGAAGAAAGTTTAACAAAAGAAATCAATTTTTTTTAGATCAGCCAGTGTGTACAGAGAACTTTGAAGTGCCCTCTGTGCAACACAAACTATTATACAGTAACCGGAATAAAATGGAAAAAAAGTGGACATAAACTCCTAAATCCTGGTGTTTGCTGGATGTCTGAATGCTTCAAGACTCACTCAAGTGAATATTTGCACTACTATACCCAGAGAAACCCCCATTTTSTACTATATTGTTATTACTTGGAAAATAATATAGTTGCTGTCTAACCTACTGAAGGCTAGAGATTGAGAGGGACAGGGTGGAAGATATGCTTTTGCAAGAAAAATGAGCAAAGAAAAAGAACGTAATCAGAAATAAAATCCGTGGAGGGTACTGTGAACCACAGGCATGAGTGAGGAGACGCACAAATAAACAAGCACAATCAATAACCACGAATAGCAGTCCTGTAGCAAACACCACGGTATAGCCGAGTTTTGTCTTCCAAGTGATGTTTTACAGTGGTCTGACAGAGAAGACATCCAGAAGATGAGAAGATTTTTCCTTTGAAGAAGCAAGAGGTTCACAGCCATCACTTTTTCCTAATAATTGACAAGGATAAAAGTTCACCCTTCTAATCGACGTACAACCCCTACATGTCAAGTCAAGTCTGTAAATCTGAAGGTGCTCTGAAAGTTTACGCTGCTAGGACCGCACACAGCAGACCTTGCATTTTGGTGTTGGGTGATTGCACTGAGGGACAATCCAAGCTTATACTAATCCATGTAAATAAACAGCTGCATGATCAGTCCATCTATTTAAGTTTAGCAGGCTGCTTATTAAAAATATACATATCTAAAAAGATGTCTAAAAAGCATTTGATTATAAGATGGTTCTGATTTCCTCGCTGTCTGGACAAATCTCGGACAGTGTCGCCCATTACAGAAGAAAGTTCTCAAAACACAAATGCTGTTTCTTACAAGTAGCAGAAATTTTCGGCAGCTGTTGAGTGGCGGTCACATGTATTTTTCCTTCCACTGGCACTTGGCATGGACACACGTGGCTGCAGATGCCAAGATGCTGCAGAGTAAGCCGGAAGCTTTGTCCCATGCTTGAACCCATCTGAACAAAGGCAAAGCTGAAGGCTGCCCAGTGACTGTTATATAAAAAAACAGCAATTCTTATGATCTAACTTACAAGGCTGCAGCTATTTGGTATAGTTGGGTGGAGAAGATGCCGTGAAAATAATTACTGGAAAGTTTTCTTTTGGCATATTATGATAGAAATTTCTCAACAGCTTCCAGGAACTCTGTGGAAGAGCTCAGCCCTTCTAAGTCCAGTAGATTGCTCTTTTTGTCACTGAAGTGGAATAATTCAAACTCTTCCTCTTCATTTTCCAGTTCCTCTTGAAATAGGTTGGTCTCAGAGGTAGGAATGATGATGATGCGAGGGACAGTATTGCTAATGATAGAGTCCAGGCCTCCATTAATTTGAGTTTCGACTTGGGAAGCAGCTGCGTCTCCTCCTTTGCTGATACTGCTGCTGTTCAAACCAACAGGTAGAGAAGCTGCTTTCAGGGAACCGGCCACAAGGATTTCAGAGGGGCTGTGTAGAGCTGATCGCCCCACGACCTTCTCTAAACAGCTGGAGGAGAGTGAAACCTGGAATAGAGACATAACCTTGAGCATGGTCCCACTGGTTACAGAAACTAGTGTATGGAATATTCAGGACAATGGAAAGAGATAATGGAAAGAGAAGAAAACTAGAGGAGGAAGCAGGCAAGGAGCTTCTGGAGGAGGTGGACCTTGCCTTGCTGTGATCGGGCTACAGATATCACACCCAGATCTCAGAAAATAAGAATCACTGATCCCATATACGCTGGTTGCAAATAAATTTATGCTTGACTATTTTTATTAGCTTTAATAAAGAAAATGGTGGGAGGAGTTTGATGGTGTGTCCCTCAACCTAGGGTTCTATGTACATAGTGGTATATGCTACAACATGATGCATTTCTACTCCACAAGCATGAATCGTTTCCATATAGCCAGATTTTTAAGATGCCGGTGAGATCATAAGCTTAAAGGGGGAAAAAAAAAGATTCCTCTTTCAAGTAAAAGAAGTAAAAGAAGAATTTAAGTAAAAGAAGAATCTTACATTGTTAAATCAAAACGTAGACAACCTTGGTCCAAGCTCAAAATCACTGTTCTGTTACTTAGGATTTTTGCCTTTTTTTTTTTTTGACAAACAAACAAACAAAAAAATATATATATATATTATTTTTAAAGGAGCAAAGGACTAGACTGGTTTCGAAATAGTCTAATTGTTCATGATAGAGAAACATTCTAGTAGAATGAAGGTGTATATTTATGCATTTAACTAACACGCAAAACATTCACAACTCACGGGATTACTAGTTCTAAATACTGGGAAAAACAAATTACGTTTTCAGCATTCAGCGGACTAGACTGCACGTCAGTAATCCCTGCAGATATTCTTAGACGGCAGGAGCTCCATTTAAAGGCCATTTATCAAAATAACACATCCGTCAGCTTTATATTACAGCAGCCATCTTTCAGGGATAAATTTGTTTGAATCTTTGTGAGCTACATCATTACTAATTTCCAGAATATTAAAAAATTTTTTACCAAACACGTATGAAGACCACCCCTGAGTTAACTTTATTCTTCCTTTCTCTTCCATTAAAAGTTGGTGATTCTCCAGAAACTGAGTCTAATCTCTTATCTCTGTTATATATTTGCAGCCTTGGACATTAAATCCACATATTGAGCTACTGAGGTAGCTGCTCAGGAAGAAAGCTTACGAGCCAGGGAAGAGAACAGAGTCCAACAAAACCTCATCAAAGGGATGGAAAGGGAGTAAAGGAGCCCGTGCCTCAACAGCCTTCTCTGCTGTGCTGTCTCTGCTTTCAGCAAATGCTATTCATAAGAGTTAAATGAAACGACTGAGGTTTCACTAGACCTTATCTTAAGCAGACCACTGATGGGAGACAGGGCAGATGCATGCAGCAAGGGGGTGATCGGGCTGCTGGAAATTCCCAGATTACCTTCTGTTTTGAACTGTGCTGTCCTGGAGAATTAACCACAAGGCTGGGAGGAAGCAGAGAGGCAGGCAGGGTGTTCTGCAGCCTGCTCATGCTTTGCTTGGTTCCTCACATAGCCGTCCCGGCACCCCATGAAGAACTGGGTCCTAGTCAACCTTATCTTGCAGTTCTATTCCTTTCCGTCCTATTCCTTTCTGCTCTTGAAATCTGAGCGCTGATGAATAATTAACATTGTTAGCCATCCAAATACTAGTTTTGAATGAGCTGCCTGGCAGGTTACCTATTTCTCCCATGCTCAGGGAAAATGATGCTTCTCAGGGCATGGCATCAGACCTCAGCGGTTTGGGCCACGGGTGCGATGCAGCCGCCGAAGATGCTCTCAGTACTCACCGTCTCCTTCCTCCGGGAGAGGAGCGCGGCAGCTSCCGGGCTATCCTACTCTGAGGGAGAAATGGGAGTTTCTTTCTCATCTTCCCCCTCAACAAAAATAAAGCATTTTAATGGACACTGAAGACAGAAAAAAGGGTGGCTTCCAACATGCCTAACTTAGTTTTGCAAGGCCTGATTGGTAATAAATGCAGGTGGCCACAATGTGAGAGYGTCAGGATGGAGGAATCACATCTGGAGTAAACAAACATGCAAAGAGATGAAGAATTCAACTCAGGGTCATTGAATTGTAGTGGTTGGAAAACACTTTTGAGATCATCAAGTCCAACTGTAAACCCATCATCACCACGCCTGCTAAACCACATCCCTAAGTGCCTCATCTACAGCTTTATTGGTTTTGTCCTACTGACTCTGCTCAGCTTTGGAGCTGTGGACTGACCTGGACTTTCTAGAACAAATCAACACATCAGTGAAAAAAAATCTAATAAGGCATTAGTAAGATTCCCAGTAGTACTACAAATATCAGGGATGAAGAGAACACCAGAATCAGTTTGAATAAAGCCTACAGAAACAGTAGGCAGGTGTAAAGATGGAATTATTATTCCAGAGATAACTTGCAGTAGAAAGATGAGACTCTATAACTGAGATTTCCCAGAGGAGATATAATTCTTTTCCTACCTTTCCTGCAGTTACTGCATTGCAGCTGTGGGTCTGTGGGAGCGGGTCCCTCTTCTCCTGCCTGACGCTCGTTGAAAAGGAGTGACTTCGGTGAGCTTGTAGTTTCTTATTATCTGGCTCTACAGGGTTAAGCTCCACATCGCTCCACGTCTAAACAGAAACGGGGAAAGGTTTTGCACAGTTACCTCCGTTCATAAACTCTGAAAGTTCTCAAATTCTAGCTTTTCTTTTTCACCTGCGAGATGAGCAGGAAGCTCATGCACCAACAGAAAGCTGAAGCTCTTCAAGCACAGATTTCACACCCAAAACTTCCCCTGGGGACAGGACCTGATTTTGGATCTTGCCACTTACCCCAGACTGCTCTTCTGAGAGCCAAGAAACCTTTGAGATCATGAAAAATGGTTCAATCGCTTTCTACCAGGATGCCATTCACCTTTTTTATTCTCACTGCTTCTGCGATTCCTCCTCTCACACAGAATTAACTTGCAAATACCTTTGGCCCTCGGCAGAGACATTCTGATATCAAACAAATGATTAATGGAGTGGGAACTTTGGAATAAGTCAAGGAAAGTTATAAGGCAAAAGGAAGAGAAAACTAGAGATTAGAAATGAGTAGATAAGTATCATCCTTGTTTTTTACTATTCCAGTTTGTTTTCAGGTCTCTACCCACTCTGTCAGTAACCAGTGAGYAAAGCACAAGCAATGTGTACGGAGGCAAGCACAACCCATGCGGTCTCGTGGGTTGCAAATATATGTGGGTCTTTGCATCTTTGCTCAATCTGTTAGTCTTACACAAAACAGACACCTTGGGATGACAGGGCTTCTGCCTGCTGCACACACTAATGTCCTATTTCAAAAACATTCCAAGAGTTTTACAGGTTATGAAACCATCACAGCAGATACTCTGTAAGGACCATTGTGCAAGCAGTGCCCTGGGAATGATAGTCAACCAGCAGGCTTAACTCTTCTATTTTCATTTACATTGCAATGGAATCATTAGTATGTTTTTTTAATACCTTTCAGAGTGAAGCCAAAGACAACATTTTAGAACACACACAAGAGAGTCATTTCTGGGAATGGCTCAGTATGTGCTCACTTTTGCATTCTCTGTCAGGCTAAGATCTTTTGTTCTAATGTAGGGGCAATCAGATGACCGTGAAAATATTGCCTGTGCCTTGAAAAATGTAACATCTGAGGCTGACAAATTAGAAAACTCCCACATCTAACACTGTCTGGCTCAAAACAATCTGTATAATAGCGGGGTTTAAAAAAAAAAAAAAAGGTACTTTGCCCAGAGTAAAAGGTCTTTTCATTCTTCTAATTATTTTCTAAGGAAACTTTGATTCAGGCTTTTAATGAGAAGCTATAGACAGAGATTGGCAGATCTAGATCAAGTCTCTAGAAGTAGCTTGTCCATTGAGTGGTATCCAAACACCTTCTTAGGGTGAATGGCATACTTTTGATTTCTGAGTCAGGTAGCCCTACTGCATACTTTTGATTTCTGAGTCAGGTAGCCCTACTGCTGTGACTTCTATTTAATCGTGTTTTGTAGGTAGGTGGGGTTGTTTTCCCCCAAATGTAAGTCCAAACCTGTTACAATTTATAAGTCAGACAACTAGAATTCTTGCTTCCCTTCACAGAAACATGACAACACTTACAGCCTCTCCCGTGGAAACCGATGAAACGCAAGTATTTTTGGTCTTGAAAGCAAAAGACTGGTGACTGGAGAGAGAAGCCCTGAAGGAAGATTCATTTACGGAGCCTCTCAGGAGATCGTTCTTTGACAGCCGTATGAGGAACCTCAGGCAGGGAACAGCATTGTGGATGGTTTTTCTGAAAGAAAACAGGAGAAGAAAAACAAAAGTATAATAGTAAAGTATAATAGTCAAGCACTGACAACTTGACTTTCAAAATCATGTGGCATAAAAGTTGCCAACTTCTTTCCATAGTCGAGACCAGAAGCAGAAGCATACAGACATAGCTTTTCATGTCTGACCTGGTGGGAAACTAAATGAGTCTGATCTGTATCTAGATTCTTCAACTTGCCATTGCTAGGTGCCTCCTCTTGGACAGGTTCAAAAAGGGATTTTGGTTTAACTCAGTCCAATGTATCCAATACCAAATGGCCAGTSTGTTCAGGCTCACTACGAATAAATTTCTTTAAAGACACAATGTGTGTGATTAAAACATCTGGAAATGATTCACAAGCCCTGATCTGCACACATACAGTCATTATTCACAGCTCAAGCAAAATGGGTCCCGCCAACATATTTTCACCAGCTGACTGTTGGCAAAGTACAAATTGCAGCTACTTTTTTCACTTTTCCAACTTCACACTTGATCCGTCACGAGTGACACAATGCGACTTTCTAACTTCATGACTTGCCGGCTCTGCAAAATGCCCTCACGACAACTGCCTAAGCGCCTGCTTCGTCTAGAAATACACATTGGGAGGTAGGAAGAAAAAACACATATTGGACTCTGGTTTTGGTGGATGTAAAACTAATAGCTACTAGAGCAGATATATTCATACAAAATAGATATTTTACCATTATAGATGTATTGCTATCAAATTTCTAGGGAGTTCTACCTGTTTTTACAACCATGCTTTCCTTCATCAGGCATCCAAAACAATCACCTATCTGTGTCTTCCATCTCCTAAAACACAGTTTCAGGTGATATAACTTAACAGTCTTTCCGCTATATTGATGAGAACAAAAATTTTGCTTAAACTAACTCTGCCACCTTGTGGCGTCTACTGCATTCAGCTTCCAATGAAAGCAACCACCTCTTTGTGGAAGACGCACTTGGAAAGAATTGCTCACAAATCTAAAGAAATGGCTAATCAGAAAACATCACCTTTCATACAATACATGTATTTTCCAGTGCAAGGGTTTCAAAAACATATTAATCTCAGCTGCAATATTAAAAAAAAAAAAAAGAAAAGCTTAAAAAACATAGCTTTCTAACACATCACTAAAGATGGTCATCTTTTAAATGATACTAAAATGTTGTTCCTTTCTGCATTCTTTTCACCATATCTTATACTTTTCCCATTTGTGCAGCCGTATGGAAAACATCTCTTCTTACAACTTGCTAATACTTTGCTGATCATCTCACCTCAGTGAGAACAAATAATCCCTGTGCTCTGTCAGTTTATTATAATGCTTAGTTTATTATAATCCAGTAAACTGGACATAACACATAAAAATCTCATCCTCACTGTGAGAGAATTAGCAAGAAAATAAAAAGGACAGTCGGTCAAGCATTCATAAAAACATCTAAAGATAGGCTTTTTTTTTTTTTTTTTTTTTTTTTTTTTAATGTAACTGAGGTGGTTAGTAGGATTTAAAAGAAGGACCTGGCTGGTAAAGTACTAAATTCAGAGGATTCTCAAATGAAGAGTCCTAAGATAAAGTGAGGTAATGATGTTGTCCAGAAATTTTGCTTGCATTAGTTCGTGTTCTAAGTCTACATTGATGAGTCTATAATGCAATCTGCTACAGCCATCACTAGATAGATAGGAGAGCAATTCTATTGATTTTSATCTCCCTCAAACATCCTTTCCCACACAATTGGAAAATTCAATACAGAAAATGCAGCCTAATGGTGTCGCATGTTATTTGAGAATTAGTAAAATTTGTGATAGAATGCCACTGTTTTCTTCTTTAAAATATTTACTAATTGATAACCATAGCAATGTAGAATGAAAATGCTGAGTAATTTCTCTATGAAGCCCTCAGTTCAGAAATATTCCCAGTATATAAAAAAACAAAGCAGACTGGTTCCACAAAGTGATCAGCATTGCTTTGTACATTRAACCATACTACTGCAGCCTGGTGCTTCTTCTCAAAAGGCAAAGCTAATGGTTTTTAAACAGGTGAAGATTGAAGAGGTTCGCCTAAAATTTACCTGACATGACTAAATAAAATGAATATGAAAACTGAGTCTTCCAAAGAGATCTTTCAGCAAGAGCATTTTAGAACCATCTGCTTTTTACAAGGCAACACTTGCTGAGCAGCGTTAGCAAATCTGCTAAATCAAAACCAATATTTTTAAGTACATTAGAAAAGTTTTTCTAATTTTTAGGGAACTCTGTGTAGATTGCTGCCTTCTGAGGGCTCTTACTTTTCACTGAGCATATAAAAATGATATTTGCTTCAACCGAGCTTTTTCCAAAGCTCAGCACAACTGGAGCATGGGCTGCATGAGTTGAGGTTGAAGGAAAACACAACTTGCTCATTCATTTTTGAAACTGTGCCTACATTGATAGCAAGTCACATACCTATAAGTCTACTGTACCTGTATCTTGGATGAATTATTGCATATATGATGGGGTTGTAAATTGCAGAAGCTTTGGCAATAACAGCTGGCACAGATTTGGAATACGGCGTTAAGATGTTGCTGTGGCTAAAACAAAGCAAAAACGTGACACAGAGCTATGCTGTGGATTAGTGCTGAATTACTAAAAATACATTATTCTTTTTGGACAGTTTATATGCTATGACCCCATATCAGGAAATACACTCCTGAAAAAATCATTCATTAGTAGAAATTCCTTGCTCAGAGTGAAAACTTCAACTTGCCTGCATATACTTCTTTGTATACAGGGTGGTCTATTCTTTATCTTCAAAGAAAGGGGAAAGGCAATAAGAAAGCAGATTCAAAACTAATACTTTTTGGCAGCAACCTGCATGCTGCACAGTAATTTAGTTCCAGTGATTTAGTTCCAAACACTAAAAAGGGARGAGAGGATTGGAAGTGGCTTGAGACCATTTTGACTTCAGTCTCCATCTTCAACCAATGTGCAATTGTAGGATAATAGGCATTAATGTATCAGTGGTATGGAACATGCTCTGACACTAGGTCCCCTTGGAATACAGTTAGAGGATGAGGGAGTGCATAGATGTTTAGAGGTGAGGATTTGGGGAATATACTCCTTTCTTGCCTTTTTTTTTCAGAGGTAGCCGCATATAAAAGGTCATGCTTGAGAGAAGAGATATTAGAAAAGAGGCAATTCTTAGAGGAAATTGGAATTCATACATAGAAAGTATCACAAAGGAGAGGAAAATCCAAACCAAAGGTCAACGTATTTTAAATAAGCAGACAAATATTCATTTGGCATGCAGTACCATCTCCTCTGTAATAAGGATAATACGTTATTTTTAAAGGAAGAACTGTTTCTTGSAGGTGACAACACTAATCATCTTTCTATTTCAATGTAATCCAAATTCTTGGCATCATGTTTCTACTTACCCTGCCCAGGCAATCAAAGTGACGCAAGCATATGGAGACCAGGATAAGACAAATACAACGATGGCCACGAAAGCAATTTTTGCCAACTTCCACTCGTTCTTCATGGACTGAGAGAGGTAGGATTTCCGACTGCAGGACCCAAGCTTTTGAACATCTCTGTGGTGGGAAAAATAAACAGATCTATCAGCAGGAGCATAAAGAAAATCAGGTRCAACACATTATTGGGAATATGAGGCATGGAGCAAACTTCATCTTTCCCTGCTCTAACTACTCTGTTATGCTCAGGCTCTGAAAAATTTAGGAGATGGGAAATATTGTCATCRGATGGCCCCAGATATTTTCAGTTCAGTCTGCAACGGGATGGAGCCAGAGGATCCGTGGGATTGGGGATTTTGACAGGGATAGCCACAGACAAGCCTTGATAAAGTGGAATTTGAGCTGGAAAATGCATGAAAAGTGAGTGAAAGGCATGAAAATCTTGTTAGCATCRTCTTTGTGGTTCCAGAGGGCAGCACTGACTCAAGGATCACTCTTTGCTTATTAACTAATACATAAACTCAGAGCATAATAAAAATTAAGGCCAAAAGATAGTTCGATAAAATCTTCAACTTGGACACATAGCTAAATATATTTGTAGGAACATCTGCTGAGCAAAYATGGAGTTTAGTCTCGTGAAACCAAAAGACCTCAGCATGCTTTGGTGAGAAAAAGCCATCAGAGCTGATGACACAGCGGGAACACCCACAGCTTCAGTGGGAGCTTGATCAGATCTGAAACAGATGCCCTCATTAGGAGAAAAGAGAAAAAAAGTGACAAATTCCCTTATTCATCTAACAAACCCTGCTCTTTCTTTACTTCAAATCTACAAATATATATACTGAAGATGTTGTAAAAATTAACTACATCCTTACAAGCATAAGCAGGTTTTGTGTCTGCAGTTGCTATTCTGCTCAAGTAAAACACAAGTTGAGATGTCTGTGTTAAATAAAGGAAAAACATACGGACTGTTTCATTTATGCATCGGTTTCAAGGCAATTGATGACCCAAGCGCTATGTRCTATTAATTGCCACTGTCAGGGCTAAGATTAGAACAACCTGAGACTTCTTCCCCTGCTCCAGCATACATATATCTATTCCAAATATTACACTGGCAAAAATTGTCTCCATTTATGCATGTTAATGATCTATGTCCCTTTACTCTCTAAATCAGTTTGGATTTATTTCTAGTTCAGATTTATCTGAACATAGGGGAACTGAGAAAGTCTTCTAAGGCAATAAAAGAGAGAATTACATATTTCAGCTACATTGCTTACCTGCCAGTACTTCTTATGGCTAGGAACATAAATAAATAGCAGTGGAATATTATTACTAGAGGAATAAAAAACACACAGCAACATAAAATCATGGTGTAACTTCTGTTTGCTGGAGAGTAGGTTACATAGTCCCACGTACAGGATATCATCAAGCCTTCAGGTACATAGGAACCTATGAAATACACGAAATAGATGATTTACACACGCTCAAACCTCTCAGAGCTACCTATTCAACGTCCAGGTAATTAAAATAAATATTTTGTTCTATAGATTGCCTTCGTTAGTTACTCCGGCCATGCAAGGGTATGAGAATACAAGGGTGCACTCAGAGAGCAGCTCTCCGCTCCTAGACATGATACATTTAATAGTCTACCCACAGGTTGGCCTGCTTCAATACATATGGGGGAAAAACTATGCACCTGCGCTGCTGTAGGTGCAGATATATTACATAACAAAAAAAAGAATAAAAAAAATGGTGCAATAGCTATGCCTCCACTCGAAAACTTTCCAAAAAAAATTATTTGCTTCTGTATCCCGAGCAAGGCAAGGTCAGACGCGAGGGCACGGAGGAGAGCAGCCCACGTACTCCATCCCAGCAGCGGGGCCACGCTCCACGCGAGCGAGTAGAGCCAGACGAGGGCGATGAGCTGCACGGTGCGTCTCTTGGAGCTCCACTGCATGGAGCGCAGGGGCTTGGTGATCACGAGGTAGCGGTCGATGGAGATGGCCAGCAAGGTCATCATGGAGGTTATCCCGAAGAGCGCCCCGCAGAAAGCGTACAGGTCACAACCTGAGGCCGAAAAAGGGAACATCGGGGGTTTTCTTTAAGCAACAGATGAACCTATGTCCTCTCTCAAAGTCTCAAGTCATAAATTCCCTTTTTTTTCCTTGGCTCAGAACTTCTCTCTCATTAGAAGACTTACAGCCTCTCAGTTTCATAATTAATAAGTGCTGATTAGAGGCATCCCCCTCCCCAATAGTAGTAGAATACAGATGTATGTGTTAAACAATCCTACCCCCCACTGTAGRCTGTAATGAGGAGCCTTTTGTCAATGGAAAAATGCCTCAAAAGAAATCCAATCTAATTAGATTTACATTTTCCTGGACTCTTGCCCAATATATTGATCTCAGCTGGCTGCCCAGATATGTGTCTGCTAATGACACATGGATGTTTCAAAAACGGCTTTGGTTTATACGGCTTAAAAATGTAGAAGCGTTTCCAACCCAATGGTTGAAAGACCAGCCACTAAATACAGCTCCCGCTCCTTTCAAATGTAACATTTCTTTAAAACTTAGAGATTTTACATGAAACAAATTTTTTTCACCTCTCTGCATTCAGACCCTGTCCTAGCAGATTACAACTTGCACAGTTATGCTGTACCTTATTTAATTCAGAAATCTGTTTCTCACTTTCGATCATTTCTTGCGATTTTGTGCCACATCTTATGGCTACAGCCCACCAGAGACAGGAGGCACCCCTAACACCAAATTCGACCTTAACGCCATCTTCTTGCAAAGTTTTTCAATACAAACCCCAAAATAATGGATCAAATTCTACTCAGTCTCAGTCAATTTCTTCATTTGGGAGAGCATGATCATTTACAATCAGTAAATAAGTCGTAGGCTGATTTTATCTACACAGCTGAGCAGGACTAACAACCTTAGCATAGTGTATTCATTAGGTTAATTTATTCACTAGCCCCTTTTATGCTGCTAATAATACATTGTCTCTGGACTTGCTCCACCAATACACTACCAATGCTTGACACGAATTTACACCTGATGATCGGATATGCAGTAATAAACAGTGCATCAGGCACTTCTTCTGGTATTCAATTTGTAACTGAAATACCTCCATTTCTTTCTTGCAATCAGAAGGAAAGGAACATGATTTTGCACGGACTGTTAACTCTATTGACTCTCACTATTTAATTCTGTTAATTAAAATGGAGATTTTGTGAAGCGTGTTAAAGAGTTTCAACAAACATCTGCAAATGAAAAATTAAAGATCTATTAAACAGAATAAAGAAAAAATAATTTTATGTCTTCTACTCATCTCTAGCAATGGTATCTGCATTCTTCACGCTAAAGAGTCACAGAATTAAATGCTGATGTTGATTCAATTCATTCCAGTATGTGGAAGATGAAGGGATCAAGCCTACAAAACACAAGTACTTATGCCATTATGATAGCTGATAATGCCAAGAGGCTCTGTTTTTGCTCGAGAACCCCATGCTGCCGTGGTCCCTGGTATAAGCCAGGGCTGTGATGGCTGCAATAGGTTGTAGAAAGTGCAGAGCTGGCAGGGTACCAGTTAGTGTTGCAAAGTACCTATATCCCCAAGAATCCACTCTCGGTGCAAGCTGTTGATGAAGCAGATGGGCGCCTGTGAAGCAGACATCAGGAAGTCGCTCACAGCCAGGTTCATTATGAAGTAGTTTTGTGGCGTCCTCAGCTTCTTGTTGCTAAAAATCAAGAGAGAGAAACACACGTTTTAAAATACACAAACTGAACAGTTAGATCACTTTAGCTGCTAATGCAAGCAAATACTTTCCAGGTTGCAACTGTTTACTTCACCCATCTGTCAACCACTGCAGCTTCGGATGGAGACATTTCAAAGGAATAACTAGCAAGAGCAARGGGAATAAAAGGAATTACTTCATCTTCAAACACAGAAGAGCTCCAGCTATTCTGAACAACATGATGCTTCCTCATTCCCCTGGTCCCTCTAGCAGCAGGTACCCACCACGCTTCACAAGATCAGGCTCTACAGCGCATAACTGAGCCCAACGACACTTTCTGGTCAACTTTTAATAGCTGCTGATCTAAAGAGTCACCGCATTGCTAGTAACTAAATTAGTCATTGCAAAGTGCCACAGGGCAAGCRGGGCATTTCTTTTTTTAATTCCTTTTCCTCCATACAAGCAAAAACAGAAAAACTCAGCTGCTATAAACAGGCAACATTAAATGCCAGTCAGGCAGTTTGAAAGCAATAGCCAGTCAGCAACAAGGCAAAGTTTGCCCGAGGAAAAAACAATATTTTCACTGCTCCCTCCCAGACCTGCTGCTCACATCTCACCACCCTCTCATGGTCCCACTTCTTAGAGATATCTGGAGTTATTATCTCCTAGGAAGCTTAAAAATGCTACTTGAGATAATCCTTGGCTCTAAGAGGTATAAGAACTGATACTCACTCGCACTTCTGTTTGGGGTTATTGGGCTGAATAATCCCTCGCTGTTCCGATTGGATACAACACTCCATGAGGCACGTTAAATTAATTTTTGTGACTAGCTCACCCAAATTTATGGTGCAACTGGCACTTTGATGGATATACTGGGAAAGGGCAGGTGCTCTACCAACCGAGGTTTCTCTGCTCTACTAGCAAACTGCCAACTGTTCAAAGTTTACATCAATTTCCTTATGTTAATAAGGAAACATTGAGAAAGAAATGGATAAAGAAAGGCACCTCAGCACTTCCACAGTTCCTTTAAATCACACAGCTCTCACAGCTGTTTCCAATGTCTAGAGAGCGGGAGGCAAGCAGAGTTCACAGCTGAGGTGCTCTTGCTCTGCCTGAGGAGAGTTTCTCCCTATGCTGATTTAATGCATTTGCAGTTTTTTACATTTTTACAATTWATCGCACAATGTTAAGCCAGAATTTTAAGAAAGCCATAAAGACCACAGTGTTTTGCAAACATCACAATTGCCAACTTGATGGGAACGCAGTTTCTCTTTTCTCTCATATCAGTTTTTAATTATTTTGCTTTAAGAATTAAGAGTATTAAACTAACATTTGACTCACACCCCTACTGGAATTTCTAGCATGCTAAACACTCTTGGCACTAAAGTGAATGCTGATAACAAAAATGAACAAGAAGGATTTGGAAAGGCAGCATCAAAGCACAGAATAAAAGTCTTTTTTTTTTTTTTTTTTTTTTTTTTTTTTCTGGAGATATTTACATACTCTATCTGCAGTTGCTTCCACTATGTGTTACGCTGCCAGAAGACACCAGCACATACAACCTGACAGGAATCCTGTGATCTGCCTGAAGCAGGGAACCGGCGGATGGCGTGAGCTCGCGGCACCTACCTCATTGCTTCCTCAGCCCTTGCAGCACACTGCAGGCTGTAGGGAATAGTGTCAGTTTGGGCAAAATATTCTGCAAATTCTACCTTGCAAATGAAGAAAAAAAGGCTGCTGTTTCGATTATTAGAAGTTTTAAACCTGTAAAAGGCGTAGAGAACCAGGAGGTTTCCGATGATGCCAATAGTGCCGATGACAAGGACGCACGTTCCAACCGTGTAAAGAGCGTGGTCGGGGATCTCCGCCGTGGCCACTGTGTGCTGCACCGTGTCCATATTCCAGCTCTGGAACAGAAAGCAAAGGAAAAGTTCCCATGTTTGGTCGCTTGTCACTTAATCCAGGGGATGCTCATTCAGCGTGTCCAACTCGTGAGGGAAGGTAATGCAGCCACCTGCCACAGACTGACACCTCTGCATGGCTCTCCAGTAACCAAGCCAAACTCCTGCAATAGTTTCTTCGGTTCTTAATACCAGGTTATATATATACACTTAAAATAAAAGATTGCAAAAAAATATGAAGGTTATGCCAAAAATGTAAGGTTCTGATGATGATGTGAGAAAGGCAAAGCTGTGCTAGCAGGAAAATAGCTACAGGGATGTAGAATGAGCTGACAACACAAACCACAGAGCAGCCAGCTCATCATGCTTTGGTTTTTATTAGAATCTCTGATATCAAATGTGTCTCTTGGCCTTCACCTTTGCCAACACTAAACTCCCCGCAGTCTGCTCGAGCTCCTGATCCACTGACTAACAGCACTGCAARAAAGGGGAATTCCCCATGGAAAAGTTGGGAGATCAGAGGAAAAATAGCACCTGTGGCAACCCCTATTTAAGCGYAAACACATTAAATAGTTTTGACATTTCTTTCACTGTCCTTTATCAACAGTGTGTGACTAAAGCCCCATCAATTCTTTATGTGTTTTTAGGGAAAACAGTCCAGTTTAACACTGTCTAAATTCAGCAGCAGGGCTGCCTACAGCTAATCCACTCGGTTTCTATTAGCGTTAGCAGTGAGAAGACCCTGGCTTGCTACCTAATGGAGATCAGTCAGCAGCAGCAGAGACACACGGAGCACTCGTGCACATTTGGACATTGACAAACTGGTCAAAATTAGGTCCCCTTGTCCCAATGGAGGGGCTGGTTCAACAAGTTYTGCTGCTGTATAGCTCTAAGACTTAGAGCTCTTTGCACGGCTCTAAGACCTAGAGGGGGCARGGCACAGTTGGTGCTGGCGTGCAAGGAAGGACCTGGACAACAAAATATGTTCAAGAAGAAAAGAGTTATGCGGCTGGCAATACTTAAGGTGCCATCTGAAAGCCTAAGAACAGCTGTTTCTTTCTTCTGGCTGACTGCACTGGGTCCCCCATCTCTGACATCTCCTAAAGAATCTAAGCAGAAGGCAGTTCAGACCTTCTGGGCTTTGGAGGAGGTGTCCTGCCTTGAGAGAAGCCCATAAAACACTGTCGTTGATCTGCTAATAGCAGAGAAAATGACTTTAGGATGTGCAGGARGACAGCTACTTATTCAGTCTTTCTGCTGTTGCACTCTTACAGCGGTGTGGCTTTCATCCAACTGGATGACATGGGGAGAGCTCACGAAGACCAAAAGCCATTACCAATCATAATTTGTATCTAGGAATTTATACACACTTGTGTTCACAAGCTATGCACATAGCTATGTCAATAGAAAATATCAACTTTAAAACATAATTTAAGTAGTGGAAAYTTTTAAATGAAACTGGCTAAATAAGTGCAAATACCTGAAAGCCAACTAAGGAGAATTTATGCCTCATTTTAGCCTCATAATTTATTTCACTGAGCTGGCATAACTTCACAACAGGAAAGGCTAAGAATAAAGATTTTAAGGTTGATCATTTAAAATCTACTCTGTTGAATACATGCTGCTTTTCTCATGCAGGCCCTTGCTCTATACAGAATAACACTGAAAAACAGTATCAGAAAGGTTGAACACGGAATTTACATTTTACCTTTTTCCACAGTACCATCTCTGAAAAGCTCGACTCCGTCATTTTACTTAAACAATCCCATCACTTCTACTGCAAGCATTTTAGCATATTGGGTAAGTATATCAGGAAAAAAAAAATCAGAAATCTTGGCATTCATATCGGCATGACGTTAAGAAGAGGAATAATATCAAACATTCCTTAATGCTCCTATCTTTTCCTATCTGCTCAAAGGGAAACGGAAAAGCCAATGGAGCACTGGCTATAATCTGGCTCCTCCTCTCCAACAACATGATTTAAGAAAGCGATAGCAAAGGAAAACAAATCTTCTACCATTTATTAAATTGATATATTGGCCATCTAATGGGTGGAGGGAGTTTTCATGCACTCACATGAGAAGCACTCACCTATCAATTTGCCCTTCCCGGTTGGTTTTCTGTTCCTTTTACAGTATTGAGGCAAAATCCCAAACACTCTGCTGAAGATGAATCCTTTTCCTAAGAAGAGATCCTAAAGAGACTAGCCAAAATGACCTGATTGCTTCACTGAAAAAATATATTTGTCAAACTGTCCATGAAGAATTGTCACTAGCTGCACTCGGGCCAGCCTATGGCAWATTTCCGTATCTGGTACTCGCTTGGTTTGGCTCCTTCTAAACTAATCCTACAATTACTTGCATTTTGGCAGCATGACATGTTGGACCTGACATCCCACATAAAGCGTGCTGGGGTCATACCGTTATATACGATGTGACTAAAACATCAAAATGCTGTCACCTCCGTCATCGCTTGGAAGGCTTCCCTGRCGGAGGCACCAACATATCTGCAGGCAAATTGAGATTTAAATGGCAAATTAACAGCTGCCCTTCAACGAGCTGGCTGAGGAAGCAGCCATCAGGAGGACAAAACAACTTGGTCCACTTCACCGAAAATAACATGAGAAAACTTAACAGAGGAGGAAAGTTATTCTGTGAAAGATCTTGTAGTTTGATTATTAATCATAAACCAGTGTCAGAATAATTACAGCCATTTTTTCAGGCAGTGATATTAATAAATATACTAGTGCAGAAGACAGAATTTAGGCTGAAAGAGGAGGGGAAGGACAGGCGCCACTCAACATACAGAGGTAGAAACTAATGGGAAAAAAGGAATGGTGGCATGATTAGCATTAGGTGAATATAAGAGTCTCTAAAGACTTATTTATGATCTGATTGTGATTACAGATGCAAGYTCAACTGTGGAAATGATTTTCCCATATATGAGGTTAAGTAAGGGCTTGCTTACTTGGTGGAGGGATTAACGTGCACCAGCTAGGGAGCAATTTAACACCATTGAGGCTCCTCTGTGCTGATCTGCTGAGTATATTCACAAAGCAGAAGCTTCAACTGATCTGCCAAGTACAAAAACTCATGTGCATATCATCACACCGACATCTGACCTTTGAGTATTCACAAAAGTAATAATCTAGTTTGTTCTGGTCAGTAGCACTGCAATTATGATATCAAACAACTACCAGATTAATTTGTCCCTCAGAGAGCCAAAAACCACACCACAAGCCTGAGTATAGGACTTTGAGTATTGATCTCTGGGCAACACTGYCCTTGCACTGCTCGTTTTAGTCTGGTCACATCCCGAATCTGCCGGCAAAAATACATATTTATAATGTGTATTCAATCAAGATGACAATTGATTTAGCACACTTAACTGTGAAGTTATTCTAGTTGATCCAAAAATGAGGAATGAGAAGAGAATATAAACTATGAAGTGTTGCTCTCCATGCAACAGGACAACTTGCAAAGCCAACCAAATTACAAAGTAAACGTTTGGAGCAGACCTTGGCTGGTGTTTGTTCAAGTTGTGGTCAGAAGTCTGCAACTCTCTTGCACACAGAGATGTCCAGAAATCAGATTCCAACTTGTGCAAAAKGCTTAATAAGTTAAATACTTCAAAATCTTATATTTGCACAATGACTGCTTTGACAAGAAGTTTTAATTACAGCTACAGAGGATGTAAAAGCAACTCCTTACAGCCTCAAGCMCCCCATCACCATGTCTGAGGGCACTAGAGAAGCCCAAAAACGCAAAGGGTATGTCCACCAAAAACTGACTAAAACTGAGTTATTTCAAGCCAGACAAACACACTGTGCATGGTAGACAAGCAGAGGTGTTCACATATCCCATTCAGGGAGTCAACAATGGCAAGAAGTATTAATAATTCATATGTTTTATAATTAATATGACATGGCAGCTATAAAAATGATGCACACAAGAGCAATACAGAGCTCAGAGCTAATCAATAACGTGGAAAACGTGTACATAGCTGTTTGCTCTCTGGTCTCCAAAGACCAGCCAACAAAGTAGAGTTTTAAAAAGTCAATTATTTTCTGAAAAGTACATGGAAGTTGTTTGCTACATAGACTCAGAGCCACACTGCCGAGACCAGTGCTAGAACAAGGGTTTGTTTCTCTTCAGACATGGGTCGGGCAGCTGAAAAGCAGTAAGCTGAATGTTCCCACCTCGGCGTTGCCTCCTGAGTTTGGGCAGGGGATGTCAGAGACCACTCCTTAATCCAACTTTTACAAGCTATTCTGCTGAGCGTGCCAGCAAAACCACTGCCCTGGCAGGAATGGCATGTTGCTCATTCCTGTCCCTGTTTTTGTGGAGAAGCGTTGGCAATTAGCTGGGATGTGTATCCTCTGCCTCCTTCTAAGCAGTTATAATCAACTCTTAAGGCAACATTTTTTTTTTCCTCCTTATCAAGACCTAAATGTCCTAAAAATATGGTAGAAAAGTATATTCTTTGTGCACAGCTCTGTTGCTGTATGGGTGTATATACACAATGAGGACAAGTAGCATTGCCCAGGTACTCACAGAATATACCTCAGTAGAAATTCTGTTTTTTTTTTTTTAAAAAAAGCACATTCAAATCTAAGCACAGATAAAAGGATCAAAGAAGCAAGCCTGACCACGACCTAAAATTATTTGAGAGGGAGAAAAAAAGGGGAAGAAAATAAGATAATAAATAAATAAAATAAAAAATGTAAAAATTAAAAGAAGAAAATAAAAAGAAAGTGAACATTAAACCACTATGACGTGGTACCAATATTCAGCTGCGTTGGAGCTCAGTCCCTCTTCCCTCCTCACGTCTCCTGACTTGCGTGTTGGCACAGCCACGTCCTTGCTGTGAACCCCAGGCACCACACAATACGGACCCTGGGGCTCGTGTGCATTGGAGAACACCCAATGCTGTGCTCAGATCAAAAATCACACCATGAACTAGGGAGGCAGCACTCAAGCCACTGAATGGAGCTAATCAATGCTAACACCGCATCAAAATTATCTGCACGGGTCCAGTTCAGCGCATGTTTGCTCGGTCCATAGGGGAAGGGATGATTGCTAGCAGCACACAGCAACAAAACCATAGAAGAAAATCATAGGATAGATATTAAGATGTCTCACATTTTTAAAAAANAAAAAAAAAAAAAAAAAAAAGCAAAGTAGTCAAACTGTGTTATCAGAGTTATTTCTTCAGTAAGACGCTTTGGAAGCTTTAAAGAAAAATCATTTGTGCGCTGAAGGAAATATTTAAGAAGTTTATTTCTTCTTCCAATGCGTTAACATCATACATTAATCATTTTTTCTTCCTCTCAGCATCTTACAGCTAACCACAGCTCTAATAATCACATAAAGTTTATCTAACACAGAAAAAAAAAATGCCTGTACTTTAGATCTGTTTTTCTAAGGTTTATCTTACAGTCTATCAAAAAAACAAGAGGAAAAAAAAATAGGGCTCTGAATTCACTGACACKGTAGCCTTTTGGCACAACACACTCTTGACCTGACCTGCTCTTCTGGCTCTGGTTCCTGAAACTCCCCTAGTTCGTCTGTGTCACCAGTCAGCCTATTTTACCAGTCACAGACACCTCTGCCCTTCATGCTTTAGCCTCCCCACCGTATATATCAAAAGCAGTTTTATGTTTTGCCGCTGCTTCCCCTGCTGATCAGCCTTTTCCTACCTTCAGTACCGGCAACTTCCATTTGAGCAGTAAGGCTGCCTTAACGGTGCTTATAGGTTACCAGCTCATAGAGGGCACGTGAAGAAACATCGCTGTCTTTTCCCAAATTTCAACAATGTATTTTGCAATTCTGATCCTTATCAGGCAGTCAAGGAGTTATAACTGAAACCTTGGAGCAGGGTAATTTCTCGACCCTGGAAAGCTGAACCAAATATTCTGTCTCTTATTGTTTTACTGTGGCTTTAGGTCCTCTGTGAACAAGCACATTGTTAAAGCATTTTAGGCACTTCATACGTATTCACTGTGCTGCTGACAACATGCTTATGCCTTTCACATACTGCTGAAAACACTACTTGGTGATTACATGCATTGTTAGATTCCTATGTCTAAGTGAAAAATTTAGTTTTGAAATAGTTTAGGACTCCTGACAGAGTTTTACTGGTTCACTAGTAAAACATTTAATCCAACTGCTTAGGCATTTCCCTCTGACAAATTCCAACTAGATACTCTGCATGCCATGCTTACAATAAAGCACCTAGATAACAGAAATGACTGGGAAGGGAAGGAATTGAGACAAATTTAAGATGACCCAATCCAGTCAAAACTTTTTCCATCTCTGCAAAGAAAGGCAAGTCTTAACTCACATCTGAAAATGGGACAACCTCCCCTAGCTTCCTCGTCAAAAAAAAGTCTTCATCCAGGGAAGGGCTCTGTACACCTGTGAGCAAGTTAATGGGCTGTGTCTTCTCTCAGTAGAAGCAAACTGTTTAGCAAAGATGAAAAAAGAGACGGACTTTTACAGAATGAATCAGTGAAAAAAGGCAAACATGATTAACATAACTAAGCAACTCAAATGCTGAAGATATATTTCAGAGGAAGGTGTAAGGAGCGCTGCCAAACCTACAAGGAATGGCAAAATGGAGATAACTAGGGAGCAGTTACAACAATCAAAGAACTCTGAATGCCCTCCACACCTCTCAGAAAACCCAGCCATCAAGTGAATATGCTCCATTTGCAGGAAGAAAAAAATACTTTGGCATCAAAGGAAATGCCTTCAATAGGATATGGAGAAGCATCAAAATATCTTTGGTATAGCTGTGAAGGAGCTTAAACCTTACCCTCTCCCACTGCTGTGTGGCRCACAGAGGATGGGGACAATGCAGTTGTCTCGCTCTGGTCTTGTTTTAATCACATGAAGATCTGAGCATCTTCCMCAGATGTTTTTTCAAGACTCTACAAAAGCAATGAAAAAAAAAGKCATCATATAGTCTAGAGGCTCAGGTTTATTTATTTAATTAACAACCAAGTCTGTACATACAACTGAAGAACATTTAATATGTCATTAAGTGAAACCTCACACGCTGTCAAGGTGAGACCTGGAAACTCTCTCTATTTTGAGTAAAACTGAATYGTCCCCTTAGCTGCTTTTTTGTTTACCTGTGATCCCGTCTGCAAAGCTTTCCCAAGCAACAATATTAATATAGCAGCTCTGTCACTACCACTGCCCTTRGGACGCTGCTGCGGAGCCTTCAGCACGATGATCTCCTGCAACACAATGGGAAGAGATGCTGCTGATTGCAACAAGAACATCGTAAGACCGGGGTACATGACATTCACTCTTTCTGTTTTTTACAGAATATTAATTAGCTCAAAATTTGGTAAGCATGTCACGTCAGGGAATAAACTTGGGCTTAATCATCCTTGGAGAKTCCAGTGAAAATTTAACAGCAGAAATAACCTGCACAACCACCATAATACGGATGTGAACCAAAGGAAGAAACCAAAATTGAAGACCCGTAGCAGTGCAGGCATACATTTAGTCTATTTAGGGATTAGATTTTAAATATACGTTAGGTGCTCAGACTCCCATTCCCTCGCATCTGTCTAAACGCCGATTTACTTACGAGTGCTCTACAAAACGCTGTCCTCAACTTGCTTCCCTCGGAGATATTGCAGGACAGTGACCTCTTGCAACGAGAGGACACCCGCGTCTTCCCTCCCGAGCTGGGATTTCTCCCACAGCCCTCCCACAACCTTCCTCTTCCATTCTTAAAAACCCTGCTGGCACAGCAGCAGTTTACAGAGAAGGAACAAATATTCTTAGTGGAGTGATATGAAAGCCACGACTGGGCTGCTTAATGCAGTTACATGCAGGCAAACTGCCAAACATGTGGCAGGAAATCTCCTCTTCTAAAATCTGTACAAAGTATTGTAACATATGAGGTCGGGGTACACGGGGACAGGAAATTCTTCATATGCAGTTTGCTGACCTGCCTCAGTTTTCTGCCCCAAATCATCATAACTAATTTGCAATGCACAAGCAAATCCTCTTTTCCTTATGTCTTCACATAATCCTAGCTAAACATATAAACAACTGACAAACCCTTCTCCAGCACTTCATTTAGGTCACTTTACATTACATTTATCAGCTCGACAAAGGATAACAACCCTGAAAGCTGCTTTAGGGCTTCGTTTAAATTTCTCCTGTTATTAAATGTTGCCTACTGTTAATGGCAAGATCACAATAAGGTTTAATTAGCTAAATCTTAATGGTGCAACACGTGCCGCAATGAGAAGCCACCAGCAACATGCCCCCTGCCCAGATGACTAGGGGTTTCCCATTAACCAAAACTCCAAATCCACCTGAAAAATCTAGACACATGCTTGTAAGGAACATGTCCCTTTGGACATATCCAGCTCAGCTGCACAAAAAGAGAAAGCAAAATTAATAAAAGCATGACAACTTTSAAAATATCTTTTAAAGGCAAAGAATTAACTTAAATAAATAGTTCATTTTGGTAGGAGGGGACAGAAGACAAGGACATCTCCGTAGCCAGCTCCCCCTTTCCAGGAAACTTCCTCCCGACACGTACTTTGGGGGTCCAGCCGCGAGCATCTCGCTTCCCTCCGCACATCCGCTGTGGTACCACGGCTCGCTCCAAGGCTCGTCCGCAATTCCCCGCTTTGGGAAGCTGGAGGCGAGCGAGCCCTCCTCCTCCGGGAGCTCGGCAGCGCGCGGAGCAGCAGCGCTAGCGCCCAGCCGGCCGCCCATGCCCTTATCCAGCCCGGCCGAGCCCGCCGCGGCGCTCATTCCACGTGCAGAACGACTTCTTGAAGAAATAAGTGAACAGGTATAGAGCGCTCTTCCTCCTCCTCCTCCGCAAAGCGGCACCCCTGGAGGAGCTCATCTCCSGGGCGCCCCGGCACGCTCCTGCTCCCGCTGCTCCGTGCGGGAGCAGACGCGAGCTCCCAGCCCGGTGGGTACCACCCCTGCGGATGCTGCTGCCGAGGCGGCGCATCCTGGGGCGGGCGGGCGGATGGATGGTGCCCGTGCTCCCTGCCCACCCCGTACCTGCGGTTCTCGCTGGGCAGCGCCTCGCGCTCGCGGCTTCTTATGCTTTTGCTGCGGGGAGACGGGCTCTGTAACCTCCCATAGGTAGCCAGAAAAGAGCCAGATGACCCCAGCACTCTCCCCGTCAGCCTCCTCGCCACCCAGGGCTCTCGCTGTCTCCTTGCGTGCGCTCTTCTYCAGCTGCCCTGTCATTGCCTGTCTTCAGGGGGACGTGACTATGTACGACTACGTACGTCCCTGGCCAGAGGGCTGTGCCTGCGGTGTCCCAGGGCACTGAGGTGCTGACACGTGTTTGGGGCAAAATGCCTACGTTCACACCTTGAGTATCTTACCAAGTTGTCACAGGACATTGCTTCTCTACTGGACATATGTAACAGCAACAGGGTGGCCTGGAGCATTTCCAGAACATGTCTTACCTTYAAGCACAAGCACCCAGCCCCTCCTGCAGACTGGGCAGCAGCCACGGAAAAGGGAATAAAGGGAATGGCACTGAATAAAGAGGAACGCATAACGCAGGAACGTCTTACCTTGCAGGGTCTTGGTTATGCCATGTTTCCAAAGCAAAGGTCTTCAGATGTGTTGGAACAAGGCAAAAAGAGCAGGAATTTGATGCTAGGCATCTTTTTACCATCTCTTCCTTCCCAAGGACTCTCTTATGCTATGCTTTGGCCATAACTGTCCAAACTGACATTTTCAAAATACATACTCTGAAATGGAAGGAAACTGCTCTGGAAAGACATAATGGTCTGGGCTTAGAATAACTGGAGAATTCACATAGGTSTATTTTATTAGTAATAGCAGTAGTAGGTAGTAGTTGTCTATTTTATTTAAGCATGTGCGATTTCATTTGATTTTTGAATACTTGTCAAAGGATGAGACCTTCTGTCAAATGTCTAGAACAATAAACAAATAAATAACCAGATCCATTTACATTTGTGCATTCTATAACCCTTACAGCATGAGATACATGTGCATTTAAAGGCTAAGAAACATATATTGAACAATCATCACTATCTTTGTTAACTATTGTTCTTAACGCCAACTCTATAAAGCTAGCATAATATATCTTATTCCTTTTTCTTCTGTTTTAATACTGCTTGCTTGCTATAGACTGTATCATAAGTCTCTAGAATRCAGACTCTATGATGCAAAACAGTATTTTAGAAATCTTGAACATGACAAGCAAAACTCAATACACTACATAGCACACAAAAACCTACAGGGAAAACTGATATATTCAACTACATGGAATACATGTAGTTGACATGAAGGATGTCCCCGACATCCTTCCCTCCAAGAATCAAATAACAGATACCTTKAAATCCTGCTCACTTACAGTTATATCAATCAGGAATGGCAAAGGTTGAATTGTACATGTAGGACACCTTAGACATTCTAGCTTTACAGGAGAATCATAAAATAAGATTGTAGCTTCAGGAGCTGCATAAATTCATAATTTGTTAGCTGATAGCATATTTTAACCGCTAATCCATTTTAATATTTTTTGAGGTGCAAAATCTGCAGAAGAAATAATCAATCTCTGTATATAACTTCTGCAGAGGAGTTCCCTTTTCTCTTACTTSTAAAACTTTCTCCATGTGTAAGTTTATTCTGCTCTGTGAAATGATGAAAGATTCAAACTATTCAAGCATTCTAAGGAACTGCTCACATTGGTCAGGTTGCTCATTCCTCATGGAGTCAAAACYTCCCGACATCAGGCCATTACACACAGGACCTCCCAGCGCTGCACTCAAAATGAACCCTACTTTTTCCTATATATTGTAATTAAAGCTAGAAAATGGATGCCAAGTTAAAATTAAAAGACAACTAAAATAAACTTGTTCAAGTTGCAACGTTGCGTAGACCAAGAGGGTTTTGACTACACCATCTGAGTTGGCCCCATAAATGACAGGACTGAGCTATACCAAAGCTGGAGGCTTACTGGGCTGCTCTCCCACACATCTCCTTTTCCTTACATTCACACCTAGCTTACTCCTTCTTCAAGATGCTTTAGCTGTTTGTATATTTGAAAATAATCACGGGATATGGGAGAATATGGTAAGTCAAACAGGTGAATTTAACCCAAGCAAATGGACTTRCTGAGGATCATGATCTGCACTGCCACACTGCAACTTAGCATATGTTTGAGTCAAAAGACTCCAAAAATCAGTTCCTTACAGTCTGGTCACAGAAAACAGACTGAGAAAAAAGCAAAAAAGGAGGTAAGCAGTCACCTACCACAGGTCAGAAAAATATTCTTTGTGAGAGTACTTAGTATCCTAGGGATATACAAAACCTGGCAAAAGAACGATACAAATGTTGGCCAAAGAACGAATGCTAACTTTTCCAAATAGGTGCTTAAAGAAACCAGTCAAGTAGTGCAGAACGTCCAGAAAAATCTAGATTTCTTTTTCAGAAGATGAAATAGAATCTTTTAGGATGAATAATAGCACTTCACTCTTGTACATGACCTTTCCTCCTACAGGCTCCCAGAGCAGTTGGCAAATTTAACAAATTGAGAGGCATTATACATCCTGTACACCAAAATCATTTTATCTTTCTCTAAAAGGCACCCCCAGGGGAGCAAAAAGCAGTAGCACTTTAACAGGTTAGATCTCTCGTGACAGTCACTACATCTAATTAAAGCCACAGGGATGAGATAATTGTCAACAACTGGAATTTGTGCCAAATCCTGGATTAAACCATTGCTGGGAACATCATGCTAAAAAGCATCCGAGTGCTATATTTCCCCCACATTCCCCTAAGCATCCCGGCACAGAGTCCTCATGGTCAGTCAAGAGGTTCTTCAGACTCCAATACCTCAGCTGTTTTGAGTTCAGAACTAGGGCTTTGATCAYCAAAATGACCAGGATTTCTTTTGCTGCAAGTTGAACACTGCCACTCAAGAAAAATCTGACTTGTGGCACCACGAGGCACATGGTAGAATATTATCTAGATGGAAGCAGCAGCAGAGGTGCACAGAAAAGCTACTACAAGCTACAGACTCAGCTGGACGCAAGGGTTTTTACGCTCTCTACACTCAGGGATATCCCGGTCCTTGTAAGGAATTCTGGCCATGCTTCTGGCCACTGATGCTGTGGTTATTGGAGGGTGCAAAACAACATGAGTAGAGCATTAGCACAATGTAGCAGAAAGAAGTGTGCAGTGAACAGGAACAGCACAGCCAGTGGAATGATGCATCCCAGCTTCAGAAGGAAAAGAAAGGGCATTTCAAACTATTGCAGGACTTGTAGTCAGACCACAAGACCGATACTGTTGGACAATCTACAGCCTGTTGGATAATCTACAATCTACAGACTGTTGGATTATCCATCATGTTCATTTGAGGTTTGGGATGGCATAGCAGCACGTTGGAAAGCATCTTTGGAACTGCAGGACAAGGATGAATGAAATATGAAGCAGAAACAGATTAATTCAGAAGTCTGTACTTGCTAGGGATGAACCTACTGGTACTGTAGRTTGTTATGGGAATAATTTAGGGATTATTACAAATTACAGTGCAAACACTCAAAGACATTCCCAAATATTGAAATCTCACATACTCGACAAAGTATCTGAAACATTTTGCTTTGCAGTTCAAGTAGATGAGTTTGCATTGACCAGTCCAGCTTGCCTTATGAATGAAAGCACTGCAGAAATCTGGAAGATGTTAAGGCATTTTAGACATTGTCAATTCTGGTCATTCTCAGACAGGATTAACTATGAAAAATATAAGAATTTTTAACTGATGAAGTCTGAGGAGTCTGGAAAGCAAACTAACTAGAAGCTCCAGGATAAGTGCAAAGCCAATGTAAACCAAGTTATGAGTTATAATCAACCAAAGGATTAGAGTACACACCTCAATTATGGCTTGTTCAAGAGTCACAAGAAAGAAGGCAATGTATCGCCTGTCTAGAACACATTATACGTACAAGCAACCTCACTAGAAAAAGCACAAAAATGTATCCCACCAGGATAGCAGGAACAAGTTACCGAGACTCAACCAAGACTTTTCAGTCCTTGCTCATCCGCACCTGGAGTCTTTCCCTTGGCAAGAACGATAYTGCCAATATCCACCCCAAAACTCTTGTCCTTCAGGTGAGGACGCCGATTTTCTTAGATACTGCAGATAAGCTTGAGCCAAGTCTTCACGTCACTTCAGGCTTTTGCTTCTTTTCTGCCCAGTCAGAAAGATATACAGGTACCATGGGCCAGAAGTCGAGGAAAGAGGAATTTGACTTGATGGACTGCTAGATACACACTCACCTAGCTCCTAGTTGCTGCTTCTGTACTGTCATAGAGCTTCCAGAAAGGCCTTTTAAACCACAACAGAAATGCATTGCCTGCACCAGAACTGGGTTCTCAGGTCAACATCTTCATTGCATGACTAATTCTGCAAGCAAAAGCAGAATTTTCATTTACTCTGATAAAAAGTCGGTAAGCAAGCAGAATACTTTAACTTTTATTCCTCATTTTGGCTGAAAGCATATTACATAATATCAGAGGTTGCCATAGAAAAGATATCCTGATTTCTGGCTAACTTAAGTTTTCCTCTGCCCTCGCTCTCTCCCAAAGTTTTATGCAATGACTTATGGAAAAATCCTAACGGTCACAAATTTTGGTATCRATGTCATGGTGGTGACAGCCATCCAGGCTCTTTTTTTTCTTCTTTTATCTTCTTTACTAAGGTTTTCCATTTCTGGTCAAAGGTGACTTATTTCTATAAATGGAAACATTTTCACACTTTAAATGCTTAAAACAAAATCCTTTAGTGTCACAAGCAGGCCTGGAGATTTTTGTCTGGAAATGGGAACACGTCAGTAGCTCTGAGAACAGGACAAAACCCCTCTAAAACCTGTTATTGTCTTCCCAGATCAAATACAGATTCATAAAAGGGCATGCAGAAACAAAACCCTTATTGGTCTTCAGTTTCCACATGAAAAAGGAAGGAGGAGTATGATTGGATCTAAAGTTAACTATTAATGGCATGTCCTTGAAGGAACAGAGGGACAACAGTTAAAATCCTGAAGGAATATACATTTGGAAGTAGTCATGTACTATTGCTTGGATGTCTTAGCCCAGAACACTTAGCAGAAAATGTTCTGCCCCTGTTAAGTGTCAGCTCTAGGGAATTAAACACTGCACCTAATACAGCTCTTAAAATCCCCAGTGATAGAGCAAAACATCCACTCTGCGTGCAACAAATTGCATACTCACAAGTAATGGTTTCCAAGAGCCTGAATTCGTCACATGCCGGAATACACTAATAAAAGCACATTTGAGGTGACCTGCAGCTTTGCCCTCACGAGCAGCACCTCAGCCACCAGTCCCAGCTCCACAGGTCCTCTACTTCTTCCATTTCTCACTGTCTGACTTGAAATCTTCCTGCGAGAGCTGCAATCCATCTCACATACAAATCAGAGGGTGAAACAAAGAGAAAGGAGGATATTTCATAAACTCTCTGAATGTGTCATGAGGAACATCGTGACCTCGACGTGCACGTAACATTCAGCTTCTTGGTCCATTTCAGGCCCTGTAATTCTTKGTTTTGAGTTGGAACCTCGTAGAAAATTTTCCTTAAAAAAAAAAAAAAAAGAACTAGAATATAAAGGCACTTAAA